ATTACGCCAAAAAAACACAATCGTTCCTGAATACCCATTCGATCCCATTTGTACACAAAAACCACAACCCGACAAATCTGCCTCAGTGTCGCTCAATCGAAGATTTCTTCGGGGTTTTGAGCTCCTGGGTGTACAAAAATAACTGGAGAGCCATGAATTGCAAACAGTTGATTGGAAGAATCAAGAGATGCATTCGCAAAGTTGACATGAAGGCCGTACAACGCTCCTGTTCCGACATCAAACGGAAGCTTCGCCGAACATCCGATTACGGACCGTTTTCAAATGTTCACTAATTTTTTTTCAACAATGGACAATGTATCTTTAATTTCAATAAATCAGATCTTCTTCAAGTATGTTTGTCTTTTTTTGACAGCTTGAGAAAGAAATTCCAAAATTTTAGTTGCCAGCCGTTATATAGCAGTAAAATGGGTGTGTTCTTCTTTAGCAAAGTACAATTGCGTGTTCTTGAAGTAGTACTGGAAGAAGCATTATATTTTAGTTAGATGCCACCTAATAATTATCATTATCACTATCACTAAAAAAAATCCGACGTTAGTCCGCAAAACTTAAGCCATTTTTTGCGAAGTTCAGTGTTTTTCGGAAACCGGAAAAATCTCATATTGTTACACTTCATTGCAGTTCCACGACCAAAACTTGACCAGAGCAAAACTTGGCAATACACTTCATACTCAGTAAATATTATTCGAAATTTAAGGAGAAATTGTTCACCAGTTCACTGAGAATTCAAACAACGTAAACAAATTTGCAGCATAGCTGACACATTTTGCTCCGCAAGAAGCGTTGGCAGCTTTTGTAAACACAACAATTCACGTTGCCAAATCGTCTGATAATATTTCCACGAATCTCTGTATATAGTATTACCAGTGAAGAGTATGATGGCGTCCAATGATGTAAGCGGTCGCAGTCAACGTATTTTCTGTGATAATCCATCAACTAAAATGTCATACGAAAATAGCTCTCATACGACCGTGCCGCCGAAAAATGTTACGTTTTCGTGTTAATTTTTTTTTCTTATTATGAGAGCTGCTCATGCCATGCTTGTGACAATTATATTATCATTATAATAAATATGCAACGATAAACGAGAGGAAACACTACTGATCAGACATAATTTAAATAGACACAATATAGAAAAACTAGACATTTCGTTATAAGCTGTTGATATGCTGGTTATATGACAGTTTTTCTTTTACGTGAATGTTGTTCTATCACTCGGGCTGTACGAGAGAGGTGATGGTAGTGTACGAAAATAAAAAGACTATAATCCACGACAACGACGCGAATGTAGTAAAAAGCAATCACCGTTTACACCTACAATAGTTTATGCGCTGTCCAGACTGAGCAATTATAATATGTTATAACGGTTGTCAAATAATTGCAACACAGAAACCACCATCAAGATAGCGCTATAACATGTTATAACGCTGTAGTCTGAACGTACTATTAGAGAAGAATGAGATTATCGTTTAAATCGGGCAAATGGCATTATTTCCGTCAACGATATAAAAAACAATATTGATGCTTTCTTTGAAATCATAACATAAAATAAGATTAAATGCCGTGGTAATTAATTTTATGTGCAGGTGAAGAAATTATCATGCTTTACAATTTTATTAAAGCGTTATTTATCGTTTAAATTGTCGAGAATATAGAGTGCAGATGGGTGCCCGAAAAAAACGATAAATTTTGACAGCGCACCTTCCCAATGAAGTTGAAAGGTTTGTTTGCTAGTATAAATAGTTGTTATAGACACTCATGTAAGGACTGGTTTCGGATTTGGGTGTAACTGTTTTTTTTTTTTTTTTTAAACAATGGCTTCAATCACCGATTTTTTTTTTTTTTTCCTTTGGTTGGTTTTGTCCGTCGATCTTGTTTTCCGTGCTGAGCACCAATGCTACCGACGTGCCAGAAAGGCAGCTCCCACACCTGGACCCTACCTATCGACCCATCAACTCATGAACCGGGGACCAACGGCTTTACTTCCCATCCGAAGGAAGGCGTGATCAGAGATGTTATGCCTCAGAACATCCCGGCGGCGCCGACTGGTATTGAACCCAGGCCTGCTGGGGTGAGAGGTAATCACGCTTACCACTACACCACCGGCGCCGTTGCTCACCGATTTTTCGCGAATAACATTTCTAAAATCGTGAGTAACTGCAGTTCGACATCAATAGAGAAAAGTTCTTGCACACTGACCAAAACATCCTCCTATCATTGAATGAAAGGTGTCTGGCCATTTGGCCGAATGCCGTTTGGCCGAATGCTATTTGGCCGAATGCTATTTGGTCGAATGGGTCGTTTGGCCGAATTCCGAACACCAAAACTTCAAAGAACTGCTCAGGTTTGAAAAAAAAGAAATTTTTTTTTTTTTAATTCTGATTTGTCTTCATTTTATGACAAGCTGCAAAAATAACTAGAACAAAAAAAAACTCCAAAAAACTGCTCATGTTAAAAAGGGTGGCTAAAAAAATGCCAATTACATAACTAAAGGCTTATCTTTAAAAGAATAACGAATCCATCGACAATACAAAATTTCAATTTTGTGCAATGTACAATTTAACAAAAAATCCAAGCACGGAATGAAATACGAAGCGTTAGAGAAAAGTCCAAGGAATTCCAAATGAAGCAATTAACGGCGGCGGAAGAGCAGAATATGGTGAGAGCTGTCCAAATTTTTGTTTACAAATTAAATATCGAAATTAAACTAAGTACATGCCAGGGTTGAAAAGAATTTTTTCGAACCTGGAAGTGTGTATGTATCACCAATATCCATTTGATAACGGTGATGCATACATGCGGGGCTTATTGTAAGTGAAAGTAACCTCGGAATGGGCGTGACTTTCCAGACATTCTGAAATGGGTTGCTGGATCTGCAATAGAGCTATCACCTTCTAACTCCCGGACTAAAGCTTTCTACAATGACCATAAATGCGACATTGTAGAGAGAGTTCTTCCATAATAACACTGCCGGTCAGTGGAGGTTAGAGGGAATACACACACACAAACACACATGTACAATTTAACAAAAAATCCCATATTTATAATGTCAAAAAACCAGAATTGTGGAAAGTAAAAAAAATCCACATGAATCTAGTAGTGTTCAAAAATTGGAACGGCCGGCGCCGGTGGTGCAGTGGTAAGCGTGACTGCTTTCTCACACTCCAAATGGTCTGGGTTCAATCCCAGCCGAGGTCGGTGGGATTTTTCTGTGGCATAAAAATCTCTGGGCACGTCTTCCTTCGGAAGGGAAGTACAGCCGTTGGTCCCGGCCCCTGTGTGTTGAATGGGTACGATATCCTACGCAGGTGAGGAAGCTGCCTTCCTGCACCCTCGATTGCCGTCAATGGAATTCCGTTGATGATTGGCACTAGATTGCGGAACAGAGACCGACGTTAAATGAAGGAAAAGAAAAATTGTAAATGTCTTTTCAAGTATTCAGCCAAACAGCATTCCGCCAAATGGCCAGAGATCAATTTCATTCAATGATAGGAAGATGTTTTGGTTCAGTGTGCAAGAACTTTACAGTTACTCACGATTCTAGAACCTTTTTCAACTAACAAAACAATATTCATTCATTGTTCTTCTTTCATGGAAGTTGAAATCGGTGAAAATTACTGAATTCAATTTCGGAGATGATACAATCCACAAATGGCCGTTATTATGGTTGTCCTGTCTTGCCCCTTTGAATTTTTGAAGGCACGAACCTCTGCAATTACAAGGATTTCGGGTACGAAATTCTATCAACATCTACATATGCACAGCAGTGCAGCAAAAGTGTTGATATATTTTCGTACAAGAAATTTGTGCAGTTTCTGATAATCTCAGTCATCAAACATTTAAGTGACAAGACAAGACAAGCATAATAACGGCCATTTGTGGATTCTATCTTACAAATGCGAGATCTTGAAGATTTTGAAAAGTCTGCTAAGATCTTATATATGTTTTCCTGTTTTACATGTTTTACAAGTTCGAGATCTTTAAAATTCGTCCAAAACCAGTATTCACACCGTCTTCGTCTATAAATCGTACAAACCGAAATCTTTGCAACTAATCTAAGCCTAAACCTATTTTCGACTGTCGTTTTCAATAAAGCATAGTAAAATTCTTCTCCTACATCATTAAACACACGAAGGCACGAGTCAACAGGATTGTTGTGACCGTAGTTAGTTCGATCGTGAGGAATAGCTAAAAGCGATGATCTACAAAATCTTCGGAGAGTCACGTTTAACGCCTTATAGTGAGTTTAACTCTGGCGCTACTAGAGAATTCACTGCATACTGATTGCACCAACTCGATCCCTGTCTAGTCGCTGTCCCCTCACACAATTTCCCATCTCTGGCCCACAGCGAATCGGTGTGATGATGATGCCGAAACAAACAAAAAATAACAGTAACATACAGTCTCACCGAGTGACACATACTCGCCTCCCGGTCGCGGCTAATACAGAGAGAAAGAGTAGGTTAGCTGTACTGAGGAATAGTGGAAAATTCTATTACTTTGTTCCCAACCAGAGGCAATCATTCGTCAAATTGCGTTCATAGAAAACGGTGTAGAACTTTTTGTTTCACTTTCGGCACACGTACCGCTAACTCTTCGGAACCGTTTGTGCACGATTTCGGATGTCATAAAATGGTGTAAAATGTGACGTTTCTTGATTGCCTACTACAGTAGCAGGTACTTGGATATCCAATGGGACGCAACAGAGCAAGCAAAATTATACGATATGATAGAGGAAGTGTGATATAATCACAGAAGATTGCAGTCTCTCAATAAAGAAAATCTTCTTTTCGTGCTGACGAAGTGTAGTTTTTGCGTGAAATATTGACTCCAAATCGAAGCATCGCTCGAGGAAAATTCCACGTTGCACTACGAAGAAGGAAGTCTTCCCAGTTATCATGAATATTTAATCTTTTATAATCGATTAGATACTTTGATATCGAAACGACATTGATCATCTTTAAATTATCGTTTTCTTTCAGACACGAATCACGAAAATCCAGACCAATCCGGCTCGACGGGAATAGCTAAATAAAAACAAATACAGAAAAGTCCGACCTCTGCACTCCGACTCCCGACCGAGTCCAAGCATTCATCCTACAACATTTCGAACATCAGTCAGTGAGATCAACGTGCAGAGAAGAAGAGTAAAAGAGTAAAGGAGTATCAACAAAGCATTAGAGCGCATGAGAAAATAAAACGGAAAAAGAGCAACAAATGTGTGTGCAAAAGTGTGAAGTGTAGTACCCCCCCTGCATGCGAGTGAGGCGGGTTGAAGGAAAGTGTGGTGCAGTGCATCGTGAAGAATAAGCAGAGCGAAGAAAAAAGGAGAGCCCCTGTGTCATAACAAAGAAAGAGTGCAGTGAGCGCGCGCGTGGTTGAAGAAAATTTACAAATTGCGTGTGTGTGTGATTGATTAAAAGGCAGTTGAAGAAGAGCATCTTATAGTAAATAGGAATACAAAAATTGCAGCAGTGTGATACGTGCGACATAGAAGTTTATTGTTTCCGAAGGAGAGATAAATGCGTGGAATTCTCCAGTGCATGTGCTGCGGAACAAGTGATTATTGAATGAGCAAAAATATCTGAAGCAAGAAAAAGATCGAGTTGATAGAAGTTAAATTGTAAAATTTTCAATCGGAATACCATAACACAACTATAATAAAAAGAGAGGTGAGTGCTGAGATTTCTTATCAGTATTTGAAACTAGATTGTGTAAGTTAAACATAAACACTAAATTTTACAATCAAGTATTGGTCAACTCGCTCACGTTATGTGAAAACAAAAATTCGGGTTCATTTAAATTCCTTTAATTAGTTAAAAATCAATATTTTTTAGGTATGGATTTTATTACATTACACTACATAGGATCTTGAAAAAAATCTGAATCTTAGGTTTGAATTTCTGTTAACGGAATCCTTTAACTCCGACGCAGAAATGCACTGTAATTAAATTAATTCCATTAATTACAGCTTTAACTAATCTTTTAATTTTGTAGAACCTTTTACCAGAATTCCTTTATGAAGAGCTTTTTGAGTGTGTTGCTGTATTCCCTTTTAATTCCGTTATAATTTCTTATTGTGTGGTATTAATACCCCTCGAATAGAGATGTTAGGCGTATGCTATAAAACCCGAACATTTAACTCGGCTTCGGGTCCGACTAACATCGCCGACGAAACCCCCTTGCACGGCAAATAACGATGAAGGCGCGTCACGAACAATCCTCGACCTCTTTCATCTTAGACCCGTCACCACGTGCAGACGCTTGGGTAAGTGACTGGCGAGGTCCCAATTAATCATGTTTTGTTTTTTTTTTTGACATCATCCACATCCAGAGGGCCAGTCACTTCGAATGTATGGGAATGGTAGGAAACCATTTGGAAATGCATCAAAATTTTCAGTTTTTATTCATTATCATCTTTATGGGTAGTTTTAGATGCACAAAAATTGCACGAGTACATTACTATGGTGATAAGGTAAACACTCGTTTATTTGTTTCCTTCTGTGAAAGCATGTTTAGTCACAAATCGTGGATTTTCTGATATTCTCCATACTGCAAAAATGATTTTCCTACCACTGAAGGGGCGACATCTCTCGGATCTTCAGTATAGGCTTTGAAATCTCGTCCAACAATTGAAAAGAGCCTATCAACTTTTGTAAACAAAACTTGGTAAGCCCTTTCGTTGCAAAGCGAAGACCACCCACGCAAACCAACAGCATCGTCGGGGTAGGGGAAACTTTCCCAATTTCGTGATGAGTGTATAAATGAAAACCACGATTTGCTATATTGCCATATTTGGAAACCACTGGAAGTGAATCCCGTTCTGATGGAAGAAGCTTATTGGATAGCGAAGGATGAGGTGTTTTTTGTATTGTAATTCTTGACTATAGTGTATGTATTATATTGTATAATGTGCCTCGGATCTGTAAAGTTCATTCGATTGAGTCTGATCAAATAAAGTAATTAACAAAAATATACTATTAATTCTAAATGTTTACCAGTTTTAAGTTCATTAGATCAGAAAGTTTCTGAAGTCTTGAATGAAAAGTCAATTGATAGTTGAAAAATATAATAATAAATTATTGGCAGGGTGGGCAGCGAACCAGCGACAGAGTGGCCTGCGAAAATAAATTTACCATACCATAGGAACAAATTATTACACCAAAATTTCAGAATAAACCATTAAAACAGAGTGATTCTTTATCACATGAATGTCTTGCTCTATTTGCTGAATAATTTTCATCAGTTTCCATCTTATTGTTTGTAGAATTTAATCACTCAGCAATATTTCAAATTGATTTTGTCGTTTCAATTTCAGATGTAAAGTGAATGGGCCTTAAAAGAAAATATTGATGATGCTGGACATTGGAAACAAATATTTGTAAAAACCGAATCTGAACTATTCTTTTCCGGGGTTCTAATTTTTCATTATTCATAATTCTCATGATATGAATTCAGAAATAACTTGGAATTCTGCTCTGAATTATCATGGAATTCTTCTCAAATTAACCAGAAAGCACTCCGCATAATAATTAGCGTTAAATTATTTTTGGAATCTACTTGAAACCCCTTCTAAAAATTTGATTGGAATCCTTCTTAGAATTCCCTTGAACCTATTCGGAGACTTTGATTCCTTTGAAATTCATTTCAAAATTTTCTTTTAACTCTTAACAGAAATCTCGAAATTTTATTTAGAAACCCCTTGAAGTATTTTAAAAAATTTCTTTCTTTATCAGGAATTTCAGAAATTTTTTTTGCAATCGATTTTATTGAAACTCTGTGATAAATCTTTCGCACTAGGGTTTAAATTATCCTCATAACACTCTTAGAACTTTGTTTCTTGTTGAACTCTCTTGGAATTCTTCTCCAAATTCATCTATCATTTTACTCACGATCCCCATACAAATCTCATCAGAATCTCGTAGGAATTTTCCTTAAAGTTTTTTTTTCCCAACTCCTTTGAAATATTCTAAAATTACCTAGGGAAGTACAGCCGTTGGTCCCCGGTTCATGAGTTGTTAGGTCGATAGGTAGGGTCCAGGTGTGGGAGCTGCCTCCCTGGCGTCGGTAGCATTGCTGTTCAGCAAGGAGAACAAATCAAGGATAAACTAATTCTTAAAATTTAATCACTAAAGTCACTTTTTTACGACTAATATTGAGAGTAAATGCCCGAACGCAATGCTAGTGGAAGCGGAACGGCAGTGGTGAACGGGTAGGAAACTGTTAAAACCAAATTGACTTTGGTTAGACATCTTGGCTTCATTTGTGACAACTGTTAAATATTGTTACAAGGGGACATAATTAATTTTCAAAAATTCAAGAGCAGTTTTTTCGTTCAAAACGAAAACTTCGTTCATGAAATTATGGTCATTGCATTCTACTTGCCTACTTGTCCATTGACAGAATTTCAGTTTTAAACGAAAAAACTGGTTATGACTTTCCAAAAATGTATGACGTCCGCTTTCCCTTAAAGAATTTGCTAACACTTTGAATACTTTTAAATTTTATTAAAAATTCTAGATGTCCGTAAGATTTTATAGATTGTTCTGTAATTTGTTAGAACCCTTAAAATGCTTCCAAGTCTTAGAGCCTTGAAAATTATGACTCTACGACCCATAAGTATGTTATTTTTTTAAAAATCGGCCATCTTGAAAAAATTTCAAAATTTCACATTTTAATAATTTTTGCTTCAAATCTTGTATCACGAAGATTGTTATTTATCACAAATTTTAAAGAAAAGATCTAGTTTCAGGCTCTACACAGGGTGTCGACTACCTGGAAAAACCTGGAAAGTCAGGGAATTTTATTTATTGCCTGGAAAGTCAGGGAATGTTAGGGAATTTTAGTGTAGGTCAGGGAAAAAAAATATGTTGATCACATTGCAAAAAATCATGTGTGGGACACATAATAACAATCTTTGAAATTTTATCAGTTCATGACGTCAAAGTTTTTGGGAAGATCCCGGGCATCAGATCTACTCGCTGCGTTTATGGATGCCCTTGCCGGTATCTCTTCGAACAAGTTGCTGCAAGTGTCCATGGATCGGCCCAAAAATTCCCGCTAAAGTTTTGCGATCACCGATGTTTGGAAAATAGTGCTGCTGTTCAGAGGGTAATCAAAACTACTCCGCAAATACGAAAATTTATACAAGGCGTCCAGAAAGACAAAATCGAACCAACGTCAGCTTCCTACCAAGATGTTAAAAACGGTTTGAATGACTCGCTGCTGATGGCTCAGACTACAGATTTATAACATGTTATAGCACTATCTTGATGGTGGTTTCTGTATTGCAATTATTTGACAACCTGACATTGATAATCTGAACAATATTGCACAGGTAAATGCACATTTGATCAATATGATCGCAAAAAGGAACGCCTGGACGTTTTTTGGCACAGGTTATTAGTCGGCATATTCAGAACTATTGTTGGTTGTGAAAATGATTTGCTGCTTATCGCATGGCAACGCCAATGCAGAGAGAGATTTTTCGGTAAAAGCCGAGGGGACGACTCTATCTACGGTGCAGGAAAAAATGTATTTTGCTGTGGTTAGCTGCACGTACGCTGAGTAGATAGAAAGAAGATTGATGACAATTCTGAAGATTTCCTGCACAAATATGACGCGCGATGCAAGTAGATGCGAGAAATGAAAGAAGATTTGTTGAGCATCTAGAATTGAGATTTAGATGTGCCGCCCCCCTCGGTAAATGCAGGATATCTTTTTGAAAACATGAGGGAAGAGTCAAGGCCCAAGCGAAATGGCAGCGGAACGGCAGTGGTAGCGGAAAAGCCCGATCTGAGTAAGCCTATTTGTTGGATTGAAAACTAATTAGAATCAAATCGACTGCGGTTAGGCATCTTGATGTCATTTGTGACAATTGTCAAACTTGACGTTTCCGCCCACATTGCGTTTAGGCCTTCAGTCGTAGCGCGACGTCAGACATTAGAATAGTGGTAATGACCTAATAGTGTTAGCACTAGATATAAGAAAGGCTTTCGATACAGTTAAGGTTCAGACTCTTAAGGATATTCTTCTATGCTTAGATGTTCCTTCAAGATTAGTGGATAGAATTCTGATGTGCGTTAAAGATGAAATGACTAGGGTATTTTGGGAATTTCAATACTCAGAAGAAGTTAAACGTTGTAAAGGCATTAAGCAAGGCTGCCCTCTTTCACCATTGTTATTTAATATTTTGATGCAGGAAGTTTTGACCAATGTCTCGAAAGAAATTCCAGAATTAAAACTTTTAGACTTTGACTGTTTAGTACTTCCTCTAATCCTGGCGTTAGCTGATGACTTATTGATCATTGCTAGGAGCATGAGAGAGATGGAGAAAGTAGTGAAAATCCTCACACAAGAGTTGGAGAAAGTAGGCTTAAGTATAAATTATGATAAAAGCCAGATTATGTTTAGATATCCCAACAATAAAGCAAAACAACCAGAAGAGATTAATTTAAATGGAAAAATATTTAAGGTTAGTGATCGCATTAAATACTTGGGAGTATGTCTAACAGCAGCACTGAATAGAAAATTAACCAACAGAGAAAGGTGTAGGAATTCTTTGAAAACTAGCAGAATGATAGTAGATTTTTGTAAACAGTTTCATCTAAGTTGGGAATTAGGTAAGACTATATATAAAACAGTATTAGCTCCAGCACTTATCTATGGCACT